AATGAAATTTAATTTCATTTAAATTGAAATCATGCACGGCATGGAAGGTTCCTCTGCTTAAACCAACACATGTCAAAGCCCGTCTTAAGTTTGACCATTTGGATGATCCAGAGGAGTCACAGGAGAAAGTCATGTGGTCAGATGAGACCAAAATTGAACTTCTTGGTCATAATTCCAATAACCGTGTTTGAAAGAAGAAGAATGATGAGGATCATCCCAAGAACACCATATGGGGGCGGTAGCATCAGGCTCTGGGTGTGTTTTCTGCACATGGGACAGGGTGACTGCATTGGATTCAGGCAGTGCTTCTCAAATAGTGGGGCGCTCCTGGGGGGGCCGCGTCAAGGGGGGACTTTGATAGTATTTTTTTATTGTTTTTACTGTCGTAACTTGCCACCTTATATTGACGCCTCAACGCGCTGGTTTACGAGCGCATCACGCGGGATACGCATATTCGCACGTTTCCTGGAAAAAAAACCGGCAGGTTATCAGAGTAGTGTGGTGAATGTTTTTAAGCACATAATTTTAGGCTTCATGCCTGGGCTTAACATTTTTAGACACAGCACACCCGGTCTTCTCGTCTATACCTAGTCACATGAAGCCTGCGAATACGCTTCGTCAGATTTTTATCGGCTTTCTGGAGATTTTCGTTGCCTTTATCTCCGTCTCTCTGTTGTCTTCTATCCCCTGTTGGTTATTTTTTCTGTGTCAATGAGCGCTGCTCCTTTGTGTTCTACACTTCATATTCAACCATGCACTGTGTGCAAAGCGCGCATGCCGTGCAAAAAAACTCCTAACCACCGAGCGCTGCTCCCGCGCAGACTCTGCCCAATGAGAGCGCCCTGCCCTATTAGGGGAAGTGCAATTGCACTTCCACCTACATTAGGGGGCAGTGGCGCTTCTTTGGCGGCGCGTGCGCAGGGGCCGAATCTGGCGTAAGAGTTTTTGTTTGCAAGCAGCGGCAACGCGCGGTCCCGCGTTTAGTAGAGTTGAAAAGTGAGCATCTCAGGAAACCAAGCGACTTATTACAGGATGAGAGAACAGACGGAAGAACGGAGATAAAAATAA